TTTCAACTATAATACAGTAAAAGTACCGAAACTTAGAGTTCTATGAATCTGTGGAAACAGATTGCACAAAAAGTGTTATTTCATAGCAGCACAAGGTTCATTAGTTTGTTATCTGCAATAGAAAGAATTCTTTTCATTTTTGATGGCCTAAAATAATACTTCTTATCTTGTGACAAATGCCCAAAATTATTATTTGATTTTTTGGAAATTTAGAAAATGAACTTTTTGAAATTTTTATATGGTACTTTACAGCTATTTAATAATGCAGTTTTGAAATTGGAAGCTATTTTTATCACAACAACAGACGCATTTCAGATGTACCCTGAATTAATTTTTCAACTTCAGGAAAGAAAGCCCACAGATTTGTACCATCTTCTGCCAAAGAGATTATATTCACTCTAAAATAAAATAATGATGTTCAGGAACAAAAGTTCTTCTCAAGTATAGGCACTTTGTATTTCTAGTATCCAGTACTTAAGTTGTGGAGTACCTGCTTTGATAAAGTAAGCTTCTGTGGATAAATTTACGAGTTAAAATTGCCTAGTCTGACTAGAACACAGTGCTCAAGTTACTAATGAAATTATAAAAGATACCGTAAATACTGATGACATATTTGATGAACGTACATTGTTGAAACAGATAATTTAAAACCAAAGGGAGGTTGATTCAGATTCTGAAAAAATATCAGATATTATTGAAGAGAAGTGGAAAGCAATTTTTAAGGTGTTTCAAAAGACTGATATTTCATGTTGCAATATTTCTGAAATGGTTGAGTTTGCGATGCTTCTGCCTGGAACATATGCTCCACCCGAGAGAGGTTTCTCAATTATAGGGAAAATCTGGCTTGCAGAAAGGGGTAGACTTTCTATTGTTAAACATCTATTAAATGTTAAAATTAATTCAGAACTTTCTTGTGAATTTTAGGATGTAATTTAAACAAACAAATCATTTCTGAAAAAAATCATGTCTAATTAAAAATACAACTAAATAAATAAAGGTTACTATTTCAGTAAAATGTTAGGACTTTTAAGTAATTTCAAAAATATATCCTGGGTTGGTAAGCCTACTCTGACATTGCCAAATCGCGGTGTAACCATTGTTGCTGAAGTCACTAATGATGCTATTATAAATTTGACTAAGCGCTACAGGAGGAATTGACCGCTTTTAGCCCTAATATGTTTATCAATTTATATTTATCTATTGGACCCTTCCGTATATCTCATGCCTGCTTGAATTCAGTACCAAAAACATTATTCTTATGTCAATAATTTTTATAGTAGGAGTCAAATAATAAACACCTGTGGAGAACTGTTATGTAGTAGCCAATCCAAGAGATGGCATTACCAACATTTTCTCTCTCGTCCAATAGGTGGAAGAATTTGAGATTGATCCCCGACAGCCGTAGATGTAATATGGAACTCACTTCACTTCGGTCACGCATCCCGGCTGATTTTCCTACAAACTAGCATGCTTGTATTCGGCCGAAAAATTCAGAGCGGTAATAGTAGGCATCAAGAGGATGAAGAATTACCATAGAACATGAGGTGGCAAACTACGTCGAATCTCGAAGAAGGCCTGGACGGTTGTAAATGTATAGTTTCCGTGCGCATGGTGGGCGTCGAGCCGAAAGTCCTCTCGAGAGGTTGCTGGTAAGAAAAGAGGATGGGAGGCTCTCGCACCCGTTCCTCCTTGGGTTCTCCTCATGTTTTGTTTTAAAGAAAGTAGAAAGTAGATGTTATCCTATGCAAGACTCATGGGCAAATTTATTTTTCTCTGTTCAACAATTATGTAATCTCTAATGCTATGTACCTATAGTTTTATAACAAGGGCATTTACTTTGATCATTTGAATATGCTGATTTTAATCGATTCTGTTCTAACTATTAGTTTATGTATAAAAATGTGAATCTGGTATTTAATTCATAACGGGATCTATTAACCTAGTGCAACTGTAAATTTTGTATTTAATTAATGATGTGCTCTGTTAACCTTTTTGTGGGATAACGAGATCTATTAACCGTGTGCAACTGTAAATTTTGTATTTAATTAATAATGTGCTCTGTTAACCCTTTTGCAAAGTAAACTCTAGAAACTGTTTAGTAAAATGAATATTTAGCAATTTCCAACGAACAGGAAATTTAACTGCTAAGTAAGTCATAACAAATAGCTGTATTTAACATCCTAGCATCGAAAATGTATAGTATTATATGTAAAAATGGTCTATGTAAAACTGTATGTATATGTGGCACTGTAACCTTTTGGAGAATTGTTAAAAATGCCATCCTGCCTGCTAGCTGTAACCACGGATAGCAGATATTAGATGGCATCTGCCAACATGATAATTACACTGAGAGACTCGTTAAGTACTAAGGTCGGTGGTCATATTGGTAGTGTTTTCGGGGTGCTCCTCATCAAAATTGGGGGCGGAACTGAGCAAAATAGCATTGTCACCTGTAAAGTGTTCAAGGCTGATGCCAACGACAAGCGTATCTTGCGTTCCTTGCCACGAGGAATTAATTTCGTGGGCACGACATTGCGCATATGTGGTCACCCGAAAATCGCCACAGTCTCGTCGAAATTGCAACAAGTTCGGTATTACCATCTGAGCAGGGATTCACGGAGATCATCTTTTAAGACTGTAAAAACCTTCTGCCCAAACGCCTAAATTCTTTTTTTCCCTACAACGCGTCCTCTCGAATATGATACAAGGGATACAGAACACTGTGTAGAACATGTTGTTCATGCATGCTGGCACAATCAGCGCATTTTTCGATTGCGGTGCGTAACCACCTCGATCCTACATATCCCGTGAAGTGGACTGGACTCAGTAGACTTCTTTCTTAGCCTCCATGCTCCCCCGACTTCAATCGCTTAGATTTCTTCTTCTAAGGCCACCTGCATTTGGGGTTGTTTATCAAATGCATGTGAATAAATACATGGGAGGATCTGACAGCATGTGCCGTTATCGATTCAGGAGACATCGCCACCACACGGGTATGTTGAACCCGCTAAGCAGTCCCTCGTCCGTCGGTGTCGGCTGTGCGTTGAACTTCGCGACCGTAATTTCGAATAATTCCTGTAAAAAAGTCCTGCCATCTCCTTTCAAACGCTAAACTGTTATGCACGGTAATTCCGCTTTACGTTAAATAAATGTTTTCTACTTATTATTAAACCCTTTTGTTTCACTCGACGTCACACACGTTTGCAGAAAACGTTCGATATACTATGTTAATTCTTTTGTAACTGAGAAATAAACTAAAACTAAATTAAGGACTTGTAACAAAAAATTGAGGTTCAAAAAATGAGAGATATATAAAGAGAAAAGAAAAAGAGGAAAAATAAAAGGAAGAATAACAAATTAAAATAAAATAAAAAACTCAAAGGGTTCAGATTTTAAACAAAGCGTAAAAGGGCTCTTTTAAAGTTTGTCAATAGAGAACGTAGTGGAGGTGGCCCAGGTGGAAAGCGGAACATTTTTTATAGGATATTAGATGTATATGTGTTTAGACTAACATGGGAACGTCATATATCTTCTGTATATTTAAAAAGTGAAAAATAGTAATATAATTTTGTAAAAATATTTATTGTTTTTAATTAGCTATATCATGAATTAAATGAATTTTTATTTAAATTAAAAATTCAGAAAAATAATATTCTTAAGAACTTCATCTATTGCTTTTAAATTATTTGTTTTGTTAATTAATAACGGACAAATTAAATATGAAAGAATAATACATTACATTTCTCCGAATGGCAAGATTCGAATGAAAAGTGAAACAGCTCAAAATCATGTTTTGCAACTAATAGCCCTTTTCAGTAAAAAACAAATAGGCTGATTTTCTAATACAATCAAAGCAAACTGAAACAAGAAATTAAGACGCTTTCTCACCTCGTTTCTTAAAAATACCAGGACTTGCCTAAAGGTCACATGAATGTTTCATAAAAGTATTACAAAAAGCTCATCTCTGTACATATCACGTATAATTAAACTTTAATCAAATATTTTTAGAACAATATGCTTTCACTTTTTCATTTGGCATACTTTTTACCTAGAGAGCAGGAAATAGAATCTTAATAATTTTTGTAAAGCATTTTAAGTAGAACCGAATGACTTTGTAATTACTTTCATAAAATACACAAATTATGGTATAGTAGAAGTAGCGAGTAATTTAGAGACTTAAGCATTTGTTCTGGAAATGAAAATCCTACTCTTAATGGATGTTAAACTATTATTCTTGATGAAAAATGATTTTTGTTGAATTCATCATTTTAACCACCGAAGTGTAAGGGAAAAATTACAAAGATATTTGCTGTCTGATCGCACCTACCCCCCCTGCTATTACCTAAACAGTGTTTTGATATTATCGGTTAAGGTTTGAATCTGACTTTTCATTTTAAAATAAATGAAGTCTTAAAAGCTTTTTGAATTAAACTAACTGCAGTTCTTATAAAATTATGAATAGGACTCGTAGCAACTGCAAAGTAGTGCAGTCGGTATCATAAGTTATTTCTCAAACTTTTTATAATATCAGAATTCAACATTTTAATATTGAAATATCTAATTAAAATAATAAAATGTAGAATTTCAGCTTGTGGTATTAATGCGTTTTGAATGCTTTGAACAGAGGGAGAATATTTTATAAGTTTTCTTTTATTTCTCACCTTCTTTGCTTGATCGATTTTTAGAATGAAATAGTTTGTTCGGCGAAGCAAAAAATCAGGGACATTGCAACATTTTAGCCTTGATTTAAAATAAGAATCGGATTAAATAAATTTCTGAAACTTTCTGCTGGTTTTCTTTTTTTCCCAAACTAAGAAACTAGAATGAAAAATTGCATTTAAAAATATTCTTTTAGGTGTTTTCATAATTAGAATATTGCCTATACACGCACATTTTACCTGACAGAATGATGTTAAGCTTCTTTAGAAAAAAGATCGTTTAGGCGATAAGTCGCCAAATCAGACTTCCTGTTGCATTTAATTATCTTAGAATAGAACAGCTGCCACAGTTTTCTAGTGAGTAAAGAGAACAGGAACAGCAAGTATGAAGGATCCGAAAGATCTCAATGTTGCCATTATTGGAGGTGGACTGGTAAGTTTTCTTCAAAGAAACTGAAAAACATTTTGATGTTACGAAAACTGGTATCGCTAATATCGTGTCGCCACACACAGTAAAGGGATGTTTGGTAAAAAGATTTTGTTTTCGACGTATTTTAAGAAAGTATATGAAACTAACATTCGGTTATTGACAAATTACAAACTAAAAATTTTTAGAATAAAATCAAGAAAATTTCTCTTTTTAATATGTTTAATAACAAATAAAACAATTTGTACTTAAGGAAGTACTTACTGCTATGTAGTTTAAATTAAATTAATTTGTTCTTAAATTACAAAATGTAATAAAATAATTTTAAGCAGTAGCCAATAAACGAAAGCTACGTTGCATTCTATGATATTATTAGAAAACATTGAAAGTTATTTAAAAAAATTTTTTTTCGTTTTGATTCGCTAATTTTTACAGCCCATGACAACACGGAATCCTTAATTGATTAAATGTACGTGGAATAATCCGAGAACATAAAATATCTGTATGTTACATAAATATTCATCTCAAAAGTGAGCGAACTGTAAAAATAACAAGATTAAAATATTAAATTGATAAAGAAAAAGGGTACCTTTATCATTTAAAATTTATACTAATCAGTTGTGGAAAATATTTCTAGATTTCATATCCGAGCAAAAGTTATTTCTAATTAGTATTTCATTAGTATTTAATAAATCAAGTACAGATTCGTATGCTAGGCTATCATTACTTAAAGGGGATTTTTCGAGCAATTAAATTTAAAAAATCAAAGTTAAGATTCAGAAATAAAATCGAAACTTTAAGAACTTAAGAATTAGTATTGTGTTTATCAGGAAGGAAACAGGGAATTACAAATTTAGTAAAATAAAAATAAAATTATTCGCTGAACTGTACGTTGACTTCAACATCCATATTTAATTTCATAAATCTTAATTTCGTAAAAATAACGAGAATAATGTCTTACTAAACAATTGCCTTGATTAAATTTTTTATTTTAATGAATTCCTTCTTCAAAAGCTTATACGATGAGAAAAAGGAAAAAAAAATTTTTGCAGTAAGCAAATAATTTAAAAATAAGAATAATTGTTGACATGAATTTCTTAGCAAAAGAAAGCAAAACTTTATTTCAAGAGAAATATTCTCAAATTATAGCTGAAAGAGCAATTATGAGTTTTAACATTCGAAATCTTTTTAATCAAAAAACTCACAGGAAGAAGGAAATTCATTCTTATATTTGACTAAGAAATCAGTTCCAATTTATCAGTATTTAAGATTGACAAATGCTAGTGATAAGAAGTTTGATAAGATAAATAGGATAACTTATCAATAAAACAACTGTGATACTTGCATAGAAGCGAAGATTTTCTTCAGCTTCTAACTATGGACTTCTTAATTTACTGTAGATTTTAATAGGTATAAAAGTCACTTCATTGTCTTTTTACTATTGATATTTACGTACAAAAACATTTTAAGTAGTTGTTTCAGATGCATTTGTTTGCATTTTTTAAATTAACGTTTAAGTTAAATTATTAAAAAAATTATTAACCAAAGCTATGTTTTTTTTCCTTGAAAAAAGGCTATTTTGTTTTTATTAATATCAAAATATAATAACAACTCAGTTTATGGAGAATTATTTACAACGTTCATGTATTTTTCTCAAAAATTGTCAACAGTTTAAAAATTTATGCGATGTATCATAAAACAATAACATTTTTATTTCATGAAGTCTGATAATGAAAATATTCTTCATTTTTATTGAAACTAATTTCAAAACCTTGTTTTCGAGATCCTCAGTTTCAAAAACATCGAAATTTCAAAGATTATAAACCAAAAAAAAAAAAAAAACAATAGTTATTTGGAAGTAGTTTTACAGCTTGTTAAAAGGCAAGAAAATGTAGTAAAGCTCTTCTCGTACGACTTTTTTTTTTTTTTTTCTTTTTTCTTCTCATAGTTAATATTGCAAAAAGAAAAGTTATATTACTGCAATAAAATAATTAAACAATGTAATAATTTTAGAGGTAAAATAACTGAACAATTATTTTCATATAAAAGGTTGTTCAGGCTTAAGAAAGATTAGTTAATTAATGATGCTGGTTAATAAATTATAGCAAATGAAACAAAAGCTATCCGTCTAAAAGGAGAGACGTCATTGTAAAGGGTCATCTAAATAAAAATGATTAATATATATACTAAGTATGAGAAAAGCAGTCATTTGTTTAGAGCTCTGTATACCGAGTGAACTACCGGTACTTAGATGCTTTAGCCATTCTTGCGAAAAATTAAATATAATTGAAGCACAGGGAGCAACTGAACAAGGGGGCAAAACTTTACGGAGTAACAGAACGCAGCTATACAAGTAATATTCGTCACATAAAATCTAGACGGAACGCAAGTGGCAAGTTGCTAGGTGGCATTGCAAATTATATAAAAAGAATCGGTCCTCGCAACCAACGGCATTTTCTACCGTAAACTGCAGAGACGATGGCTGATTATACGAATCACGAAATTTCCAAGGCGATGAATTGGTCGAGGTGGTCCCATAGTTTGGCCACCAAGATCACCAGATCTCTCGTGTTTGGACTTTTTCCTGTGGGGCCATAAGAAAAGCGTAATCTAGGAATGTCCCGTTGAAGCCAATCTATTTCGTTTCCTCGTTGTTGCCGGCAGTACTCGGGAAATGCTTGGTTGTTTTCGCAAATGTGAGTCAGTCCCCTATCGCGCAAGTGAGAGAAGCCTGCATTACAGCTGGCAGAAGGTCTTTTCAGCAATTTCTTTGAACATGTACACCAATTACATTTCTATTCATAAAATATTTTCTGAAGTATCTCCTCTCAATTCTTTAAATGTTTCAGTGAAAAACTACCTTTTAACTTCTCCTCGCTTGCGTTCCGAACATGCATTTTATAACGAATATTTCACGTATATCTAACTGCGTTTCTATCAGCCCGTACAGTTTTGCTCCCTTGTTCAGATTCCCCCTGTGTAATAAAACTTTCATCAAAAGTAAAAAAACTCAAATGCATCGTTGAAATAAAAGTCTGTATTAGTCACGCGACATGTGTTAAAAATTAAACTAAACGCATTTTACCGAAGTATTTAATATCTGATGCATTTTAAATTGCATCAGTTGATATATAATTAAAATTAGGATAAAGACTTAAATCGTTAAAACGATCTTTTTTTTTACTTTTAAACTGCTCAATTTATTAACAAATCTCAGATTTTTGAACGATAAACTAAAGATCTTAATATTTTACAAAATGGCTGCATTCTGAGAACTGATTATTTAAATGAAAAATAAAGATCTTGTCTTTCTCTTAGTGCCCACACTTTCCAATTATGCAAATGAAAATGCGTGTTAGCATAACACGATAGAAATAAATATACAAAGATTTTCCTTAACATTTTTTTAATGTTTTTTTTTTTTTTTTTTTTTTTTTTTTGTATATATCTTCCTTGAATTTACATTGCAATTTTTTCTACGTGATATAAATTTAAGAATTGTATACTAACTAAAAACTAATATCAGTATTAATTTTTAAAAAAACTCAAAAAAAAACTTCTTAGTGTTATTTATTTACTATTTCTTTTTTTCTTTCTCTCTCTCTCTCTCTCTCCCTTTTTTTTTTTTTTTTTTTTTTTTTTTTTTTTTGATTTTACCCCCAAATAAAATTTAAAAAAATATATTTGTCGCCAATCTTGGGCTTAAAAGACACAGTGAAATAAGCGTACAGTTGCATTTTGAATAATTAAAATTTTCTATTTTAAATTACCGCACAAGATCTCCGTGTAGCGTTTACTTAGTATCAAATAATATAATAGCAAATTTTTGCGACCATTTTACTTAGACACAATGAACAGCTCATTTTATACGCAAAATTTATGTTCTTTTTTTTTTTTTTTTTTTTTTCATTTTAGTAGAACTAAATCTAAAACTAACAACCTAATTGTTTACTGATTACTTAAGAATTTTTTCAGCTGTTGAATTGAAGTTTACAATTAAGAGAGAAAAAATAATTACTTACTCCTTAATGTATGCATAATTTAAGAAGCAATTAATTTATCTTCCAAATTAAAAGAGTATTTTACTAAATAAACTAAGCGATATAAGAGTAATATACTTATTTTAATAACTAATGCCCTTCTTTTAATTTTTAGTAATACCTTTAATTGAAATAATTTATGATACATCTAATTGATGTGTATAATTTTATAATTTATTTAACTGATAAATTTGTGTACATTTGCACCATAACTGTTAAGAACAAAAGATCACCCTGGTATCATATACTAATGTGGAAAAATTAAGAACGAGACAGAGAAATTAGCATAAAAGCCGAACAAAGCACCAGAACAAACCGAAATATCAATTAGGGAATAGACTTGGGATAAGCGCAGTAAGGCCATGCGCATGTATGGCCCACGACTTGCGGGGATTAGGGTCGAAAAGGTACTCGCACACTGGCAATGTACGCTTAGAAATACAGTGCACGGTGTACACTAATTTCAACGACGTCCATTTACTACTATCGCGTGATATGACCAACAGGAAATTCAGGAGACGTCATCTGGATGACTTAACAGAGGTCACGTTGTCGAGAAGTTGAAAATAGGTCGAAATGTGACAAGTGTAGCAGAGAAGTTTGGGGGGAGCACTCACAACATCGTTTCACTAGCCTGGAGAACATTTCGGACGGAAGGAGTAAGTGTTCGAGCATTCAGTAGCTGTCGTCTGCGAGCAACAACGGCGGTAAACTACCGGTAAATTCTTTTAATGGCGAGAAAGACTGCATTAAGCGGAAGGTACCGCTATAAGGTATTTCTCCTAGTTTCCTAGCGTCCTTCGTGGTGTAGTGGTTCTGCACACTGGGCCGGTATTCCAGAGGTCCGTGGTTCGATTCCCGGTGAAGGCGGTTGTATATTTGTAACCTAATGACTCTACAAGTGGCGCCCGAACTAAAAGGGTTGTGGATGATGATTCTCCGCACCCAGGATTTGGCGACTAGGTC